TACCCAACCCTAGAAGAGTAAAAAATAAATTGTAAAACTTAAAAATACTTGTTTTCGATCACAAAACAACAACATGGAAAAACATGTGTAGGCAACGTCACATGATATCACAAACAACCTAAGGTGGTTGTCGCACAAGTAGCAAGGCTACTGAAAGGTGTGAAAATGTGTTGGCTCTGATACCAAGTTGAAATATAAAAAGCAGAGAAATGAGAGAATTGTTTAAAGGCTTGAATGAGATAAATCACTCATTCACGACTCTAGTATTTATAGATATAAAGAGTACATTATCAAATTACAAGAAAGGAAACTAAATCAAATCTAAATCAAATCATAGCATATTCTATGGCATAATCAAATCTTTGCTAATATGGTAAGTCATTCCATAAATCGTGGCTATCATATATGCTAACATGAACAATTGTAACATTCTGAGTTTGCTGAGCCTGTTCCTCCTCTACAAACTTCCCCGTCATTTTCACAACCCATTTATCAACTCCCTTGCCCTTCTGTTTCTGATTTTTGGTCACCTAGTGCTCGTTGAGGACATTTATCAGACACATGATCTGCCTTATTACATATATTGCATACAACAGGCTTCAAAGTCGATGTCCACCATACAGTCCTCCCCATGCACACAAATAATTATATCACTGGGAAGAGCATCCTTGATACCTACTTCCACCATTACACGCACAAATTGACCCCTATTTGCGGCCACATCATCTAAGAAAATAGGTTTAGAGAAGTTTGAGCATACCTTCGATGTCATTTTATTTATGTAGTGAAACGGCAAACCATGTATCTTGATCCAAATCGACATCGACTCAAGCAGATCCTTCTTCAGGTTCACATTATGGTTCCACTTCTTCATGATAACTGGCCTTCCTTCAAAAGTGTGCACCCTCTGCAAAGCCCTATTGACCGCCTCTTTAGAGTCGAACTTAGCCACAAAGAAACCATCCCGGGTGATAATATGGTTTTTTAAGCCATAACATAGCTAATATGTGACGCCCAGAATCCCATAATCTGGTGCATCACAGCGTGGTATCATAGCGTCCGGGTTCGAAAACCATGGACGACGGGTTTTGGGTTTCCTTCATGTTTCATATCTTCATAGCATTTATGTGCTCAAGTGTTTATGTGTTTAAGAGCATCTCTATATGACATGTATGCCATTGTATCTTATTATGTGTTTCGTTTTATGCATTCATTAGATGAGTTGCATGTGGTCACAAGTGCTTGGAAGTGATTGATCATCTCTTCTCGTCACTAATCGTTTTTGGGACTTAGATGGCTAGTAGGGTGTTAGAGAGACAATGAGCTTCTCATTCCGATTTTTATGCATTGTTAAGTACACATTTATTTTTGAGCATGCTAGTTGCTATGTTTGTATGTATGCTATGTGTTTAGCATGAATGTGCGTAGCTTAGTTAAATGCAAGTTGATTGAGTACTTAGGATCTTGAGTTGCCTTTTGCACAAGTATGCTAGTTGGTAGTTTCAGTCGTTACATGTTATATACATCATGCCTTATAGTGTGTGCAGATTGTTGAGCATGATTGTGTGTTAAGTGTTTATGTTGGCTTTGTGCTATGTGGTGAGCATACTTGTTATTACTTGTGACTTGTTTTGATTTTTACATACTTGCTATGTGACAAAACATGTTTTATGTGGATTGTTTAATACTTGTATAAGTATGTGGTCTTGTTGCCATGTTGTATGCTAAATGTTTGGTATGCCTGTGTGTAGAAAGGAATGTATACTATGTACTTAAAATGGTGGTAGTGACAACATGAGATGTGGTTTCGTGAAATGTTTATCTTGAGATTTTACTATGTGACGTATGTAATCTTGGTGACTAAATGTTTATTTCGTATTTTGTTTTGACCTTCTGCATTATCCATGCTTGGTTGGGTGAGATAGATGCTAGGGCATTGTCTCTTGGAGTCCATAGTATCCTTGGATGCGTTGTCATTTAGGATTTCTTCCTTGGATAGGAGGGGTTTGTTTTGCTAGGTCTCCGCGATGGGATCCTTTTTGGTTTGTTTCATCGGTCTTGTGGTTTTGAGACCTTGGGGTAATGGTTGATGTGAGTGAGGCTCTTGTGAGCGTAAGGTTGTAGTATTTGCTTGGTGGAATGAGACGTGGGCCATGGAGGCACTGTTTCATCTCATTTTCTTTCATAGCTTCATAACATGGTCGTTGGTGTGTTTGAGGTGTTGGTATCATCTTTTGGGCTTTGTGGTGACCTTGATGCGATGACATCATTTGAGGTTTTGTTTCTCACATCATGGGACGGTGAGTCAGGATTGACTTGGGTTCTTCTTTAGGGAATGAAAGATTTGTTTTTGTGAGCCTCAACGGCGAGGTCCTTGTGACTTGTCTTCTTGGAGTGATGGTTTTGGGACTTGAGAGGTGTGTTGACCCAGGGTTCTTGAGTTTGTTTCGAGCAGCTCTTGTGAGCTATGGTTTGATATGTGTGTGGTTTCGTGTGATTAATTGCATTGGTGCAATTAATTACTCTCCCTTGTCATTGGAGACTTGGGGTGGTGTGTTAGGATTATGATAGAATCCTATAGAGTCTCCATCGGACTCGTTGGCATCTTGGGATATGTCTTTCTTGTAGATGTCTTGTGATAGTTAGTGTTGGAACTACCCATTACATTTGTTGTTTTGCCTTTGTGCGGATGTAGAGGTTCCACATTGGGTAAGAGCTAGTTTTGGGAAAGGCTTGTTGACCCTATGTTTCGGAGACCTTGATGGTCATTTTGTGAGATGAGTTTCTCTCTTTGCATAGAGAGTTTGGATAGTGGAGTTGGTTAGCACTTGGTGTTGGGATGTATGGTTTTTATGACGTAATGTTATGTAGACGTGTTTATATGCTTTTTTTTTTTTTTAGCATGCCTTAGAAACATGTTGAGGATCTATGGCTATGTGTTGGGTTTTCTCTTTTGAAATTTTGGTCACGGTTACTATTCATCCATTTTTTTTTTTTTTTTTGTTTTACAACCAAACCACCACTCCGGGACATTCTAGGGTCATTTGGGTGTATTTGAACACCGCATATTCAATTTAGATCTTGGGAAACCTTTCCAAGAGCCTACTTTTAGTGTTTGGGCAGAATGTGGCATTACTGTTCATGTGTTGGATAGATTTTTCACGCGATCTTGCAACAGTCATAACTCCAGATCCAAATTAGGTCATTCTTGAGTCTAGACTCAAGGATTTTGAGTTAGCTTTCCAATGGTACCAATCCCATATTCAGATTCCAAACCTACTGGGAGATATACTTGTTTTAGCGGACAGTGTCGGGATATCACTTGACCGGGACGGGTACTTTTGGGAAACCTTGACTTTTGAGTCTTAGGACCTCTTTGGATGTCTCAAATTGTTTAGTTTGGATTGAGATCACTTAATTTGACTTGTTTAGAGTCAAATGTTCCGATGCTTTGGGTAAAATGACAATTTTACCCTTATCATTAGTATTTTGTTCGTTTTGACCTTAGCTTCCGCTTTTGTCTTCGAGTTTTTCTGAGACTTCTTATGAGACTCTTGTTGTCCTAGAGGTGTTAGTTACCTTTAGTGACCTCTTCTTTTGTTTTCGCTTCCGCATTTCGGACTCAATATCGGGTGGGGTTTACGGTTACTCACTAACGCTCCGGGTTCTTGAAATTCGGGCTGTTACATAATAATAGAGTTCTTCCATTGGGCAATATCGTCTTCAACATCTGCATCCTCTATCACCACTTTCTCCTTGGGCTTGAAGCCTTCATGGTAAGTTAAATTAATGAAAGATGTCTCTGTTTTGTTTTCATGAAAAAACTACGTGAAGATTGACGTGGAGGCGAACCTTGCCGAGGAGATGAGACCGCCCCTGGAGACTGCGTGGAGGAGGAATTACCCTCCTCAATGAGAAGCACCGTCTTCTCCACGTAACCTACTCAGGAAAACCCCAAACCCTAGAATCTCCTTTTAACTGAGAGAGAGTTATTCAAAACCTTATATATCCTTTCTACTAAACTCTTATTTTTCTGTGGAGTACTTTTATTTTTAAGTTTGTAGGGTGTTTCATAAAGGCTTAAGTATGAAGTGGTTTAGATTACAAAGAAGGGCCATAAAAGAAGGTATTGCTTGGTGCAATGGTAAAAGATTGGATATTCACTTATAATGTCAAACTGTCTCCAGTCTTCTCTATTGGCATCCAACGTTAATGGGACTTACACTGGGTACAAAGGATAGTCTCAGCTCTTAAATTTTCAGTACTTAATTTTCTGTTTTATCAAACAACACCGTAGAGATTACGATTCTAACTTTTTGTTATCTAATTCCACGAAAGCATTGAAATTTATCCAGCCAATAACTTGAACTTTATTTTTATTTGTATTTTTTTAATTTCTATCTCTAAATTTACCTATCTTGCTGTTCACCTTGAGAAGTAAAGATTCTTGGCCGTACTTCTTGTCGTTTCACTTAGATGGTATCTCCTCAACCTAAAGGTAATTTAGGTGGTTTGATGCACAAGTAGATTTCGTCCTTGTTGGTTGTCTTAGTTAACAGATTCCTTATTATAATTTTTTCCAGGTAGGGTTGATCCTGGTAATTCATATGCTGAATTTCTTGCAAATGTAGTGCGGTTCCATGGGCATAGCTTATCTTCTGTTAGATTTTGTAGCTGTTAAATAGAATTGTATTAACTTTGAATTTGAAAGGGGGACACATTATAAACTTGTCTGTTTTTGTCATATTCCTTGTGAAAGTCCTGTTTTGCTTTTTTCTTAGTGTAGGATGATGTTCTGCGTACAAATGCTTGTTTTTTCTTTCTTTTTTTTTTTTTTTTTTCATTGTACCCATCCTTTAAACGTTGCCTATTGGTTTCTCAGAATTTATACTTGTTAAATTAAATTCCATGTGCAAGTAAAAAATGATTTGACAATAATTTATATATATATATATCTATATATATATTTTATTTATTTATATTTTTTTTTATAAATGCAGGGCGTGTGTCATCTTTTATCAAATATAGGGATGTATTGTAAAGAAGCCCTCTCAAATCTTCCTCCTTATGAGTTGCCTTGTTCAGATGATGCTACCAATGATCTAGAAGCATTATCAGAATATGAAAACATGGATTTGGAGAATTTTGTTTTTGAGAAAGTTACGGAAGAAATTGAAGCGAACAAAAAGGCCAGTGGAGGAGTTCCATTTCATAATCATGCACCAAAAGTACTTTTTGGACTTATTGACGGTATGGTGTAGTTACATGACAACATTTTTTAATGTGCATGTGTATATAGATGTTGTAATGTCCAATCATGGTTTGAAGTCGTGGAACCAGCCGCCGTCCGCATCCGTGGTGTAATAGATTTGGGGCCGTATTGGGCGTAACGTAATATAATGAGATATCATTTTCATAAAATTTTCTCAACGTCACACACCATTAGGTATGCTGAGTTAGTCAACTCCTTGGCTGAGACTCGGTTGATTGTTTAGGGACTCAGATGAGACTCGGCTGATTCTCTAGGGTCTCGGTGGAGTATCGTGTGATTCTGATTCCCGCTGATATATCGGTGATCATCGGACTGGGACTCCGCCGGGTCGCAAATACTCAACTGATATGGAGTACTACGTTTCCAGTACTAAGCCTGTATCTATTTACTATAGTGCTAGATGAAATGAAAATGGACATGCAAGGATTAATCCATGCTGCATGTTGTTTGCCAATGACATAATGTTATTAGATGCTTCTAAGGAAGCTGTAGCAATAAATTTAAGAATATAGAGAAATACACTAGAAGCTTAAGGCTTGAGAATTAGTAAAATTAAAGCAGAATACATGGAATGTAAATTTAATTAAGTATCAAAAAATGACAATATAAATATAACATATCAAGACCAAAAGATTACTCAAATAACCATTTTTTTTTTGCCTAAATGGAGAAATTTTTTCATAAATATAAACATTATATTACAAAGGATGCATGGGGCATACCCCACACCAAACAAGAAAAAACACTAGCCAACAAGGCAAGCTCTCAACTAACCACATCCTGGTGAAAAACAGAAATAACATCTTGGAGACAAACCCCCCCAAGATTTCCAAAGTTTCCCACAAAATACACTTAGCTAAATCATTTGGAGAAGTATATAATTCATTATGCAATCTGGCATTCCTCTCCTTCCATAAGCAGTATAAAGTTGCAGTGAAAATCATCCTATAAAACTTTCTCCTTGTAGATTTCACTTTAAATTTCAGAGCACAGTCCAAAGCCAACTCTTGAATTGAAAATGGATAATGAAAATAACCATTTTTGATATTTAGGATAATGAAAATGGAAATGCAAGGATTAATCCATGGTGCATGTTGTTTGCCAATGACATAATGTTATTAGATGCTTCTAAAGAAGCTCTAGCAATAAATTTAAGAATATAGAGAAATACACTAGAAGCTTAAGGCTTGAGAATTAGTAAAATTAAAGCAAAATACACGGAATGTAAATTTAATTAAGTATCAAAAAATGACAATATAAATATAACATATCAAGACCAAAAGATTACTCAAATAACCATTTTTGATATTTAGGATAAATTCTACAAAAAGACAAGGAGATAGATGATTATGTAGTTAGTAGGATTGGAGTAGGGTGGACAAATAGAAACATGCTAGTGATGTTTTACGTAAAATGATGAACAATTATCAAATACATTCAAAAGGAAAATTTTATATGACAATTAGTAGGCCAACTATCTTATATGGATGGGAATGTTGTGCATTAAAAAAGAAATAAGAACTAAGCGTTTATTTAGCTGAAATGAGAATGCTGTTTGAAGAGATGGGGTGTATAATCAACGTGTGCGAAAAAACTTAGGAAGGACTCTTATTAGTGATTGTTGAAATATCTTTATTATTATTATTATTATTATTTTATTTTTATTAGCTGTTTTTAGCCTTTTATTAGGTGTTTTATGTAAGATCCCCCATAATCATGGGATCACGTAGATAAGATCCCTATAATCATTAGATCACGTATTTAAGATCCCCATAATCATGGGATCACGTAAATTTTGGCATCTTTCCTGTTTTTCTTTGATTTGGTTTCCTTTTTTTGTACCCTATTGTTGTATATAAATATAGCTTTGGCTCTCAGTTTGAGTAAGCCAAACCCCAAAATTTCTTATTTTTGGTATCAGAGCAAAAAACAAAAACCTTCGCCTCCCCAACTCCGCCACCTTATCTCCCCCCTCTCTCCTCTTTCCCTCACCTCCGGCGCACCTCCATCTCCTCCCTGCCCTTGTGCCAGACCCCTCTCTCTCTCTCTCTTGGCGCGGCAACCCCAACAGGGCTTGTGCACATAGCAGAGGGGTAACCCTTTGTGTTTTTACTCCTTTTTTAGGAGAATTCCCTTAGGTTTTTTATGACCTAAAGGTTCTTTTATTTTTTTTCCTTTGTGGGTTGCTGATGTTTGTTCGACAGCATATTTGGAGGAAAATACCGATTTTTCCGGCCTTGTTTTTCTCTTTCCTCCTTCTTTGACATGTGGACTAGCCTTATTTTGGTACTATGAGTGATTCTAGTAGCCAAAAGGACAATTAATCCTCGGTCCAACATACTTTATCTTTGGCACAGCAGGTTACTAGTGTGCTCTTAAATGGGCGCAACTTCGTATCTTGGCCCCGTTCTCTTCAACTCTATATTAGAGGGAAAGGGAAAACAGGTTGGCTTTTGGGCCTAGTCAAGGAACCATAAAAGACGGGTACTAAGTATATTGCATGGGACATGGACAGATGCACCATTTTGGGTTGGATCTTCAACTCAATGGAGGAGTGTATCTATAATATGTTCATGCTTCGCACTTTCGTTTTTCGTCTGTGGCAAGCCTTTAACAAGACGTATGCTCACTCCTGCAATGATGCTTGTATCTTTGAACTTTATCAGGAGATTGCTCATGCATCTCAAGAGACACTCAAGCTGTCAGTATCAGAGTATTTTGGGTACCTCCGTGGGAAGAATTAGCACAATATGAACCTCTCTCTGATTTCACTGAAGAAGCTGCAACTCTTTTGGTCAAGAGGCTGGACCGCGAGCATACCTACCAGTTTTTGATGGGTTTATGATCTTATGCCCTTAGAACTCAGATCATAAACACCTCTCCTATGCCTGATATTACTCTTTTTTCCATCATGCCTCGAGTGTTTGGATGTATATGTTTTGTTCAGAATCGTTGCCCTTCTTGTACTAAACTTGATGACAAGGCCATTAAATGTATCTTTTTAGGATACTCTTCCATGTCAAAAAGTTACCGGTGCTATGATCCTGTAGACAAACACATGTATCACTCTCTTGATGTCGCCTTTCATGAGCATACCCCTTTTTATGGTTGTAACACTATCTTGTAGGAAACTTCTACTCCCGATCAAGAGGCTTCTCCTCTTGCTCGTCCTCTTCCTATTTTGCATGAAGAGTTTTCTCTTGTGGTTTCCTCACCCCCTTTGTAGGTCTATTTTCGCTGCCCTCGTGCTCCACCTCAAATGCCTTCATCCTCCTCAAATATAGGTTTAGGTACATCTCCTCTCTCTCCTTTACAATTCCCTGACCCAGTTCCTAAGCCTCGGTATCCCACTCGGGACCGCAAATCCCTTGCTAGATTTGGATTCGCTTGCAGTATTGATCATCCTATTTCGCAATATATCTCTTATGATAGTCTTTCCAGCTCTTATCGAGCCTTTCTAGGCAAACTTGATACCTTTTTTCCTCGGTGGTAAATATCTGGCTGATGGCTTTATTTATCGGTATAAGGCCCGTTTGGTGGCCAAAGGGTTTACTCAGACTCCTGGTAAAGACTTTAATGATACCTTCGCTCTAGTGGCTAAATTAACCTGAGTTCGTTTGCTTGTCTCCCTGGCTGCCTCTCACATTTGGCCTCTTTATCAGCTTGATGTGAAGAATGCTTTCTTTAATTGTGATCTTCTTGAGATTATTTACATGGATCCTCCACCCGGTTTTCGGGCTGAGGGGGAGTATGCTAGAAAAGTTTGTCGATTGCGGAAGTCTTTGTATGGGTTAAAACAATCTCCCAGTTCAGTCGTTTTAGTGATGTAATTCTATTAATGTAGTTTGTTAGATGCCATTCTGACCATACATGTTTTATCCACGTTCCTCCACTGGTCGATGTATCATTCTTCTTGTCTATGTTGATGATGTCATCATTACTGGCAATAACATCCCTGGGATTGCTCAAGTAAAGCTTCAATTGCCTAAAGCTTTTAATGTGAAAGATCTTGGGCAGCTCAGATATTTCTTGGGAATTGAGGTTGCTAGATCTAAGTATGTCTTGGATCTTCTTCGAGACACTGGTATGCTTGGGTGTAAACCTGCTTCCACTCCTATGGATCCTAATTTGAAGATCTCGGTTGAGTTTGGAGATCTTCTTTCTGATCCCTCGCAGTATCAACACTTGGTAGGAAGATTGATTTATCTTACCAACACTCGTCTTGATTTGGCTTTTGTGGTTAGTATTGTGAGCGAGTTTATACATGCTCCTCGTACAACTCATATGGATGCGGTATATCATATTCTTCGATATCTTAAGTCGTGTACTGGACTTGGATTATTCTATTATTTTAACAGGTAAGTTGGGCTATCTTGTTTCAGTGATGCAAACTATGCTGGGTCTAAGACTGACAGGCGTTCCACATTTGGCTTCTCTACTTTTTATGGAGATCATCTTATATCCTGGAAAAGTAAGAAGCAACCTATAGTTTCGAGATCTTTAGCAGAGGCTGAGTATTGTGCCATGGCTCAGGGTACTTGTGAGATTCTCTGGCTTTAATCTTTCTTGAAGGAGCTAGGGCTAAGTGAAAAACAGTCCTTAGACTTGTTTTGTGATAATAAGTCAGCCATCGTGCTTGCTTCAAATTTTGTTCTTCATGAGAGGACTAAACATATAGAGGTGGACATTCATTTTATCAAAGAGAAGGTTCATTTAGAAATTATCAAGTTGTGCTTTGTTCATTCCTCTAATCAGTTGGCCGATGTGTTCACCAAATCTGTTGGTCCATCTTTACTTCATTCCTCGATTACCAAGCTAGGCTTGATTGATATCTTCACTCTAGCTTGAGGGGGAGTGTTGAAATATCTTTATTATTATTATTATTTTTATTAGCTGTTTTTAGCCTTTTATTAGATGTTTTATGTAAGATCTCCATAATCATGGGATCACGCAGATAAGATCCCCATAATCACGGGATCACGTAGATTTTGGCATCTTTCCTATTTTTCTTTGATTTGGTTTCCCTTTTTTGTACCCTATTCTTGTATATAAATATAGCTCTTGGCTCTCGGTTTGAGTAAGCCAAAACCCAAAACTTCTTTTTTGATAATATAGGAGAAAACATGCATTTTGGTTTGGACATATTACTGTAGACCTTGAAGGTTTAGTGGTAAGAAAGGGAGATTAGTTTGCGTAGAAGGTAAGAGACAAAGAGACGGATCAAAACTAACATGGGATGAAGTAAATATAATATGAGACATCACTTGTAATAGAAAAACATGGAACAATAGAATTCATGTGGCCGACTCCATTTACATGGAATAAAGGCAAGGATGATGATGATGATGGTGAGTGACCAATATAGTTCTTTTTGCTTATTTGTCTTGTGAAGAAAAATATTAGGTGAATATATATAATAAAGTTTGTACTGTAAGCTACCTAGTGATTTGTTTACAGCCATAGATATATTGTTGTTAGGGTTTATGTAAGCCCTGCAAAGCCATTGAATATATTATGACGTATTTTTAATGAAATATGTTTTCTTCATCTCCATATAATATTGATGACTATGTATTGAGTAGATTAAGCGTCTTGATCTACATGGTCCTTCAATTATGATAGAATAAATTCATGTACACAGGCGGTTGAGGTATGTGTGCAGGAGATATGAATTTATTGGTATCTATCGAATAGAATTGGACATTCTATTTCGTGAGTATAATCGTTGGTTTCTAACTCGGACCCTCAGTTGAAATACTAAGTGGAGTGACTTGTCTCAGTCATTTGGATGGGGTGATCCAGAACCAATCGAGTTGGCGTGCATAGATCACTGAATGGGTTGACAATAAGTAGAAAATTATTTGCGCCATCATGAGCAGTTTTCCTTATCAACTTATGTATGTTAACTCTAGGTCTTGAGAAATATATTGACTGAGGTTGTATTAATTATTTACAATTGATATAGTTGGAGTGATCTACGGATCGGACAACTTAAGTTCTTCGGGTAAATAATTAATATATTCACTACTGATCATATTTTATCAAAATGAAATCCATGTGGTAAAGTATTTGGCTAGAATAGTTTGATCACAAGAACCTAATCAGTTATATTTAATTGTTATTAAAGATATGTGATTAAACATGAGAGTTCTAGGTTACCAAATATGTATAAATGGTATATTCGACTGATGGAGATATTTATCCAAATAAATATTATCATGGAGGGGTTGAAGTAGAAATATGAAAAGAAGAAAATTGAGAGAATAGTGTAAAGGCTTGAATGAGATAAATCACTCATTCACAGCTCTAGTATTTATAATTTTTTTTCCCCTAGTTGGGTACTCACACACACATGCCTCTATGGAGGCTTGAACCCCTGACCTCTCTTTGAGAAGTAGGGGCTTGGTACCGCTAGGTCACTGGCCTTTTGGTTAGTATTTATAAATAAAAAGAGTATATGCTCATATTACAAGAAAGGAAATTAAATCAAATCTAAATCAAATCACAACATAGACTATGGCATATTCTATAGCATAATCAAATCTCTGCTAATACGGTAAGTCATTCCATAAATTGTGGCTATAATATATGCTAATAGTTGATTTATGGTATTAAGTAACAGTAGGGGTTAGATTATAATTATTCATATCCTTAAGTGCAATTATTTTCATTTAGTGGAATTAGAAATAATTAAATAGAAGGTATTCTAGTTGGCTAAAGAGTCAGCGGTGTATTAAAATTCTATTAAAGTCGTGGATAAGCCTATCAGATTCCATTTCTAGTTCAACTTGGAATATGAGTAGTAGATCTAAAATGAATTACTGTAGATTAAGGAGAGTATTCAATTAAAACTCTACCTCTATATAAAGGGGAGGTAGTTGTTAGTTCAGTAGGCATAACATTCATAGTTCCAGAATTCAGAAGAAGATCTGAAGCCCACACTTTCAACTACTCAAGATTTTCCAGGAGATAGGAATGAAGATCTGGAAGGTACCATGGTCGATACTGTATCAAAGGTCGATACTGTATCAAAGGTCGATACTGTATCAAAGGTCTGTGGATTCCGATCCAGCAATTAATTAGAGACCGGTGGCAGACAACTATCTACGAGTTTGGTTAATTCTAATCTTCTATGGTAATCATGGTTAAACTGATTTCGTTAAAGCCAATTGAGACGATCATGGTTAAACTAATTTTGTTAAATCTGATTGAGACCCTGTTCCGCTCAGAAAAATTATTTTTATTTAATTAAAAAATTGCTTCTGCTTTTATCTACTATTCTGGGGCTACCCAGCAATTGTGGCATTTGTTTGTTATTTCCTTTAGTGTAATACATTGAGGTCGGCCAAAACGTTATTTCCTTCACCTTCAAGCACCCTGCTTAAGTTAGACTACTTGGTTATATTAATGTTTTCAGTATTAAGGGGTTTGATTCTGTGCTTTTCTGGATGTCCTAAGTGGTGAGGCGATTAAAATTTTTAGATATTGTTATGCATGCAGATATTGAGGTTTCCGCTGGCCAGAAACTCACTCAGAGTGACAAACCTAGAGGTGTTAGTGCAATTGCAAACCCTCCAACTGATGCATTGAGAGGCTTGGATCACCCTGGAGGATTTTTCCTATGTACAAACTGGCAGATACAAGGATACTTGATTGAGAAAGCCGATGCAATTGAAAAGTAACCGTCTTGTTATTTAATTTTTTTCTACATTGAACCTGATCTTATTTACTTGGTAGAAACATTTCAGTATCTTTTAAATCAAGGAATCTCTTGTGGTAGGCATGGCAGCTCAGTTCCTTTAAATGCTTTTGAGTATATCTTAAAGCAGCTTTTAAAAATGGCACCAGAGCTGCATCGTGTACGTCAATTTTCTTATTCAGGTTGTTCATTTGTTATTTTCCATTGGAAATGGTTTCACTTGCTGTAAGAATATTTCTTCTTTTCTTTGTGATGCTCTACAAAGCAGGTTCACTTCTTGCGTTACTTGAACAACCTCTATCATGACGATTATCCTGCTGCTTTAGAGAATCTCCACCGTTATTTTGATTACAGGTGAATGTCAAATATTTATTGAATTTTATTAAGTGCTGATTTTGGAAGTTATGCTGCAGTAGTCAAGTTATTACTTTAATACATTTATAAGTTACAAATAATGTTCATAATAATTTAATTGAGATAGCTCAATTTGGCTTTTAGCAAAGACTTGGGGCCTGCACCACAGTTTCCCTGCTTCTGAACCATGATATTTTACAGTCAACTACTTGTATTCTACAAGCACAAACATCAAAATTTTAATATACTTGACAAAACTAAGAACTGTTTCTAAATCATCCTTTGATAACAGGTTCCAAAATTATCCATTAAGTGTCAAACATGCTTGAAAAATTTCTGTTTATTGGTGGATAAGAAAATTGGGTCGAGCCTCTTCCTGTACTTTGTATGTCGTTTGAAATCCTAGCCAAAAACAACATTCTCCAATCTCCCTCAACAGTGAGACAGCCACATGCTACAACGACGACCGCCACAATGACGTTGACCACTACTTAATGATGTCAATTAATACACGAAGACAATGTCAATGATCATTACACAACAGATCTGGACATGACTTGACAATGAATCAATTATGCTCAGCGGCAACCACACGATGATGACGATAAAAGCCAACAATAATGATGACGAAGATTTCATGGTGATAACACCTACCATATTGAGATTGTGATTCAAAGTGAAGGAGAGCAGTGTTTTTGGGAGAAAAATTGAGAGAGTATCGCTACATCTCTCACTATTATATATATATATATATATATAGAAAGTGATTTGGTAAAATTGGCGTACTCAATTTGAGAGCCTGACTATCATTATATACAAGTGGAAAATTACAAATATGGAAAGAGAACAAAAATCAAATTGAGAATAAAAATCAAATCCCTAAACAAAAGCCTAAACATATAAGCCTATAATGAAGACCTAATAAATCTGCCACAATCATCGAGTCAATCTATAGATATGATTTCCAACACTCCCCCTCAAGCTGGAGCAAATATGTTGACCAAGCCCAGCTTGACTATGGAAGAGTGAAGAAGAGAAGGCCTAACAGACTTTGTGTGAACACATATGCATTTTGTTCTGAAGGGGGAACAAAAATAGGATTAATGATACTTGATTGAACCTTCTCTCGAATGAAGTGAATGTCTACCTCAATATGTTTCGACCTTTCATGTAACACAGAATCAGAAGCAAGCATGATGGTTGATTTATTGTCACAAAACAACCTTGAAGAACCTTTCTCTACAAGACCCGACTATTCCAAAATTGATTGAAGCCAAAGGAGCTCACAAGTACCTTGAGCCATAGATCGGTACTCAGCTTCAGCAGAAGATCTGGAGACAACAACTTGCTTCTTACTCTTCCATGATATGAGATGATTACCATAGAAAATACAGAAGCCAGAGGTAGACCGTCTATCTGTCTTACATCCAGCATAGTCTACATCAGTAAAGCATGAGAGTCCGAACTGATTTCCTGAGTCATAGAATAGACCAAGGCCAAGGCACGACTTACGATACCTCAAAATATGGTAGACTGCATCCATATGAGCTGAGCGAGGGGCATGCATAAATTGACTAACCACACTAACAACAAAGGTCAATTGGGCCTTGTGTTAGTCAAGTAGATAAGACGACCTACCAAACATTGATACACGGATGTGGAAGCGGGTCAACACCCAAGCATGCCAATATCTTGAAGAAGATCCAAAACATATTTCCTTTGAGATAAGGAAATTCCACGACGGGATCTAGCAACCTCAATTCTAAGAAAATATCGAAGGGGACCCAAGTCCTTCACATCAAAGGACTTTTGAAGATGAAGTTTCGCCTGAGCAATCCCTGAAGCATCATCACCTGTGATAATGATATCATCCATATATACTAATAACATGATGCAGCGACCATCATAGCGACGTCGAATAAAGCAAGTATGGTCTGAGTGGCAGCGCACAAAGCCCATGGATAGAACAACATCACTAAAACGAATGAACCATGCTCTAGGAGATTGCTTCAGACCATAAAGAGACTAAAGCAACCGACATACTTTCCCAGCATACTCCCCCTCAGCCCGAAATCCAGGCGGTGGATCCATATATATAGTCTCAAGTAAGTCTCCATTAAGAAATGCATTCTTGACATCTAACTGATGCATAGGCCAAGAATAGGCAGCAGCCAAGGAGACAAGCAGCTGCACAGATGTCAACTTTGCCATAGGAGCAAAGGTAGCACCAAAGTCTTTGCCCGGAATTTGAGTGAAGCCTTTCGCCACCAACCAAGCCTTATATCGATTAATAGAACCATCAGCCAAGTACTTCACATTAAAGACCCATTTGCAGCCAACTGTTTTCTCCCCAGCAAGTAAAGCAACAAGTTCCTATGTATTATTACACTCTAAAGCATCCATTTCTGCTGTCATAACAAACATCCAATTGGGATCCTAGAGGGCCTCTGACACTGATCGAGGAATAGAAACGGACACAATCTTGCCCAAGAAGGATATATATGCACTTAAAAGACCATCATAGGAGACATATTGGGAAAGTTGTTAGTGCTACTAGAGAAACCATACCAATTAGGAGGGTGATGAACACGGGTAGGATAACGGGATGTATGCTCGTGAATGGTAGGAGCCACGGGAGAAGGAGAGTTACCTAGACCCGGTTCGAAAGATGATTTTGGTAGGGGAGGTTGAGTGCGATGGCGATGAGAGTAGACTTGCAAAGGCGGAGGGGAACCCCACATGGGTGGAGAAGGAGATTCCAAGACAGCGTGATCTTCAAATATAGGAACAGGACGGGCAATAGGAGAGATCTTCTTCTCCAGACCACAAGAGAGAGAATCCTGTACCACAGAATTAGTACTATAAAAGGGAACAGTTTCATGAAATGTCACATCAGCAGAATGGTACATATGTTTGGCCACATGATCATAACAACGATAGCCCTTTGACATAGCAAAATACCCCAAGAAAATACACCTAATAGATTTATCATCAAGTTTATGACGAGAAGGACTACAGTTATGAACAAAACAAGTACAGCCGAAAACACGAGGCAGAAGGTGAAACAAGGTATAATCAGGCTGGAGAATCTAAAGTGGGGCCTTACCACCTAACACTCGACTGGGAGTACGATTAATCAGAAAAGCAGCTGTAAGAACAGCCATGTGCCAATAGAATTTAGGCACATGCATACCACTCGAAAGACATCGGACCACGAACATAAGATGGCGGTTTTTGCTTTTAGCCACGGCATTTTGTTTAGGAGTGTAGGGGTAAGTGAGTTGATGTAAAATCCCCTTTTTATTAAGTTCAGTCTAGAACTTGTTCGAAACATATTTACGCCCATTATCAGAACGAATATTACGGACAACAGTGTTATATTAGGTTTTAATCATTTGAAGAAACTGGGTAAATAAAAGAAGCACTTCAAATTTCTTTTTCAATAAATAAACCCAAGTACAACGAGAATAATCATCAATAAATGTCACATAATATCGATGCCTAGAGAAAGCAGTGACTGGGGAAGGGTCCCAAAGTCCAAACATCAGAGTGGATAAGATCAAACATACTAGGAGCATGACTCATATGATAAATATAGCTAGTTCTAGTATGTTTAGAAAGCTTACGAACTTCACATTGAAACTTGTGGTCCTTACATGCTTTATTTAACGAAGGAAACAACAAACATAGATATTGAAAGTTTACATGCCCCAAACGGGCATGCCATAGACTAAAAGTGCGAAAAGAAACATCATAAGCACTAGAAGCAGGTAGGATAGAAGCTTGACGACCCATTCCTGGAGGTTCCCCAAAGTAGTAAAGCCCATCATGCTCATAACCCCTGCCAAAAATCCTCTTCAAACGAAGGTCAGGCAAAAGACAATGATCTAGTAAGAATATAATTGCACATTGAAGGTTTTTTTGCAAGCCGACTAACAGATAAAAGGTTAAAGGCAAATTTAGGTACATGAAAGACAGATGAAAGAGTAATATCAGGAGACAGATACACATCACCCTTACAGTGAATGTAAGATTTAGAGCCATCCGCAAAACACACAGATTGGGTAACAGGTATGACATTGGAAGAAAAAATTGATAACTCACTAGTCATGTGATCATTGGCCCCAGAATCTAGAACCCAAGTAGGCTGTTTGGCCTTAACATGAAATGCAGTAGGAGTACCTGTAGCAATAGTGGCAGTAGGAGTAGCTGGAGGAGCACGGAAGCCAAGCTGGTCCTGGATCTGCCCAATTTGGGATTGTAGTTGGCTCAGTCCAGGAAATACAGTAGGTCCACCAGTAGTAGTAGGAGTCTCTGCAACAGCAGCAGTACGAGAAGAATCAGTTCCAAATGAACGGTTCTGAGCAAATTTCTGCTTTAGTTCAGGATGAAGTTTCAAGCAGCAAGCCTTAACATGTCTAACCCCTCCACAATGGTGACAAATAATCTGACCTCCAGTCGTACGTGATCCAGAGTTGGCTACAAAAGCCATACTATCTCCAATAGGCTTAAACACTGGTGGAGGAACAAGTGAGGGCTGAATTAAACGATGCCTGCATTCTTCACCATCAACAATAGCAAAGGCTTCCAATAGGGTTGGCATTGGTGATGCATTCAAGATTTGAGGCTTAAGTGGTTCAAATTCTGGGCGCAATGAAATAAAAAATTGATAGGCTTGCTGGCGGTCAAGACGTTTGACAAGAAGAGAGGCTGCCTCGGGAGGAAATTCACTTAAGAGGTTCATAGTGAGCCAGTTCCTCCCAACGAGATCTCAAATACCTAAAGTAATCAGTTACAGACAAATTTAGGTCTTCTAGCGAGGCTTTAGCAATATCCTGGTATAACTCAAAAATACGAGCATCATTCCTAGAATGAGCATATATTTGATTCAAAGCAGTCCACAAGTCATGAACAGAGTCATAAAACATGAATATATTATAAATTCGTTCCTCCATAGAATTAAACATCCATCCTAAAATGGTGCAATTATCCATATCCTATTTAGCATATTTGGGATCTTTAATATCTGGCATCTTTTAAGTACCCAAAAGCCACCGTGATTTGCCTTTTCCACCAACATAAAGGCGGAGGGAACGAGATCAGGATGCAAAATTACGGCCATTCAACAACACACTAGTAAGTCGTTGAGCCGGTGTGTGTTGCGCTGAAGAGAGAGTTTCTTTATTATTACTTGAATTAGCCATAATATTAAATAGAGTAATTCAACATATCACCAATAATTTCAAATAATGGAGGAATAAACCTGATTTTGATCAAACCAAGAAGCCGGAGACACGGCGGTTCGATCCGAAAAACGCTGCCGAATATCCCTGCAAAACACGTCTTCTGACCGACCCTTAGTGCATGAAAAACACTAAGGGAATACCCCTACAGGGTCGAACATAGAGTAGATTGGCTCCCCCTAGGACTGTCACAACAGCGGCCTGAAGAAGAGAGAGAGTCTGCGATGAAAAGAAAGAGGGAAGGGGCTGTGACGTGATAGAGAGAGAAAGAGGAAAAACGCGGTGAAAGAGGGAGAGAGGAGAGGCGTAGGTTTGAGGCTCTGATACCAAAAAGTGATTTGGTAAAATTGGCGTACTCAATTTGAGAGCCTGACTATCATTATATATAAGTGGAAAATTACAAATATGGAAAGAGAATAAAAATCAAATCGAGAATAAAAATCAAATCCCTAAACAAAAGCCTAAACATAAGCCTATAATGAAGACCCAATAAATCTGCCACAATCATCGAGTCAATCTGTAGATATGATTTCCAACAATATATAACTATTTTATATTACAACAAAATGACAAACATGCCCTTAAATAAGAAAATACACCCATACACATTCTAACACCACCTATATATGGTCTATTATATTTCTTGTAAACTTCAATCTTGTTGAAAACCAGGATCTCAAGTGTTTTGAATTTTTTTTTGGGATCAAATGAACATATGATTCTTGTGATGTGTCATTTACACTTACCCTATAATTTATTTGTAAATTTGTTATTGGCATCCGACTGCTTTTCTTGCTCCCTGTGAGTGATGAATGTTATGAAAGAATTTTTTATTTTTTAAACAGATGAGCTGATCTTGTAAATATTGGTACTAAAGTGCAGGGACTGAAGGATTTGAGTTTGTGCCCCATTCTTCTTCCTGCTGCAATAGCTTCGGAAGATACGAAATTGCTTTATTATGTCTAGGGATAATGCATTTTCATTTTGGGCACTCTAAGCAAGCTTTGGAGGTAAGCATGTGGAAAGATTGCACCCTCTACCATACCTGCTCCTCTTCACTTTTCTTTTGCTTTGCTAAGATCTCTGCCAATTTCACTGTCTATTTCTGTTCTTATTACAATGTATTTTTTATCTTGATAATTTTCAGGTTTTAACTGAAGCAGTCCAGGTTTCTCAACAGGTATGGTTTTAAATTGTGCTCTCCGTTTCTGTGATTTTTTTCCCAGTGAAATTGTATTCTTCACTTCACATTGTCATTCTTTTGTGTGTCAAACTTGTGCTTTTTACCTTTAAAGAAAGAAAGAAAGAAAAAAAAAAAAAAACTAATTCTTTTTGCTCCTTTTTGTATCATGTTGATTTTCTGCCAAATGATACGTTTAGATAGAAAAGGTCCCGCAAAGGTTTGTTATGAGCACAGACATAGCATTATAATTTATACTTATAGCCAAGAGATGCCTTGAAGTAAGCCCATCTGTTTCGAGTCAATCATCAATAAAATGGGGGCTAAATTGATCTTTCCAATGCTGTGTGTGCAAGGTGGGGAAGTGGTAACTGGCTGTCTTAAAATGTAATTGAGTCCCAAAAAAGATATAATACGACAATGCTATGAGTGACTACTGGTGGAGGAAAATTTTCATCCGTGGAGTGATGATATGCTCTCTAGATTATTGGAACGGGTTTTTGAAAAGGCTGGGTAACTTATAGATGAGGAATGGTCAGAAACAAATACATCCCTGATGCTAAAGGGGTTTATTTGTCTAATATCACTTTGGTGCTTGCAATTGAGTTGAAGGGGCTCTTTTTGCGTATCTAACATTTTGTAATGGCTGCCACAGAGAGAAGATAGAATGCGGAGAATGAGTGATAGACCCTAAGATAGGATGGCTTCTATAATTGTATATCATTACTAATATTCTACAAATACAACTCCTTACATATAATTCTCTTAATGCACCCCCTCCTGTTATAGCATATGTTTCTGTTACGTCTTAAGTTATAAAGATTTGAAAACTGAGTCTTGTTCAAGGCTTTAGTGAAGAGCTCTTTTCACTACATGACTTCATTGGAAGTTGTCATATGCTTCTTCATAACTATACATCTGACAAAATAACAGACAACCTCAATTGTCTGATATTCATAGAATACTGAAACCTGCAGTGTGTAGTATTATCACAAAACATGTTCATGGGCTTGCCACTAAAAAACACCATCTTCTTTAATAATATCTCACATGAGACGTGTCTTTTGTTGTCTTTGGGGGATATGAGGGTATAGTTTTGGTATAATTCTTGGTGCGTTCATCCTGTGTTCATAAATTCACTCCCTTGGGTGCTTTCTGACAAATGTCTACTTATCAAACATCTCACATGTTGCACGAGCCATTACCTTTCTTTGCCCCTGCATTCGACCCCACTATCCCTTTTTGCTTCTTACTCCTCCAAGTAACCAAATTTACACGAGCAGAAGGACATAAACCAGACATAAATTATCTATAAGGTTATCTGACCACATTACCATATCTTGCTTTTTACTCATCCAAGTAACCACATTATCACCCACAAAAGTTCATAACTTAGACATAAATTGCCTATTAAAGTCATCACATACCTTGACAACATCTGTATGACAAGATGGTTTGAACTTAAATCCTTACCAAGATCTTCTTTCAAAAGTGTTGTTGGCTTGTGGTTTCCCTAAATTCAACACTTCAAACATTTTCAACCAAATAAATCAGTTTTACCATGTCTGCTATGTTAAGAAAAAGCGTCACGTATTCCCTGAACTAAAGTTGTGTTTTGGTTTATATTGTTGCCTCACTTCATCAGAGGATTTGTAATTGGCATTGAAGCTGTGATAATAGATTGAAGACTGAGCTGAAAATTGTGTTTTGGTCTATATTACAGTAACCTTTCCCCCCCACCCCCACAAAAAAAAAAAAAAAAAAAAAACACACCCACCTATCCATGCAGTAGGCCTGATGTTTTGTTCTTCTTTAAATGTACAGCACAATGATGATACTTGCCTTGCATACACTTTAGCAGCCATCTGCAACTTGTTATCTGAAGTTGGTATCTCAAACACAATGGGAATTCTTGGATCGTCATATTCAAGTGCGACATGTATAGGAACTTCACTGTCCATTCAGCAACAATTATTTGTGCTATTAAAAAGGTCCTTAAAAAGAGCAGAGAGTTTGAAGTTAAAGCGGTTGGTGGCATCCAATCATCTTGCCATGGCTAAATTTGATTTAATGGTAAGAATTTGAATTAATTTATTCTTTTTGAACTTTTCTCTTTGTAAACTTCTTTGCTTCTTCCCTGGAGTCCTTAGGGTGGTGTGTGATCAGTTTTACATTTCTCCTGGTGAAGATTGGACTTGTGTTATGTTCTCTCAATTCAGCTTAGTTATAATAGCAGCATTAGTAAATCATACTACTCATTTGTCTAAATTATCATTATGTGAATATGAATTCTTCAAGCTATTGAATTTGTCATGGATATGGTAAATTTAACCTGAAACTTTGTGTCAAAGCTCAAATTTTGGGATATAATATCCATTTGAAAGTTTTAATCATATTTGACTGTTTTTATGATTTCTACTTGTTTGTGTGAATGTTCTTATGCCTATTACTTATTGTTAACAACCATCTACTCCAAAAGCTTAAGCTGTTAGAGAGGGTGTAACTTTAATATTTAAATCCTTCAACACACTCCCTCACGTGTAGCCTTCTTTTGGTCCAACATGTGTTTCAGTTTTACAGTTTTAATTATCAGGGCGACGGTGAGGTTTGAACTCGAGACCTTTGGCTCTGTTACCATGTTAACAACCATTTACTCCAAAAGCTTAAGCTGTTAGAGAGGGTGGAACTTTAATATTTAAATCCTTAAACACTTGTCATATTGGAGGGACAGTTTTCTTCAATACCAAAAATAGTATATATCTTTCTTTTTCTCCATCTTCTTTTGATTGGTTCTTAACTTAAAATTTCTTTACTTTTTCCTTGGAAAGAATCTCACACACCCATTTGCCCCTCTGGGGACTTGAATCATCACCTTCCACTTTGGGAGGTAGAGGAGTTACCACTAGGCTACAACCCTTGGTGGTTAACTTAAAAAAAGTTCACTGCAGGAGTGATTTACACGTAGGCTGTATTGAATTAACTGAAAGTGGTTTCATTTGTGAGAGATTTCATATTTCTTATGTAATATTGATCATTTTTATTTCTTTTGTAATGTTCATCCCTCATATGGTGCTGGTGAGTGTGAAGTGTGAGATTTTCTTCCTTTTATCCTCCTTAATATTGTTACTAAAGGAATTGGGATTGTTGTATGATTTGTATCACCAATTGCAGCATGTCCAGCGGCCCTTGCTATCATTTGGTCCCAAAGCTTTCATGAACCTTAAAACATGTCCAGCTAATGTTTGTAAGGTAAATATCAAATTATAGAGCTACTCTTTGAGAGCATTCTAGACAGATTTTGATACATATGACTGTTTATTGTTAACATTTTTTTCTTACTATGAATGTTGTAGGAATTGAGATTCATTTCTCATCTAATTTGTGAATTTGGCGCTGAAAGTTCATTAATGACAACTGATGGTGCTTTCAGTACTGCATGGCTTAAGAATTTGGAAAAGCCAATGGGTTCATTAGTTTTCTCTCAAGAAAATGGATCTGGAAGCAATTCTGATGCTTCACATTTCTGTGCACAACCTACATCTATCCCTGGGTCTATATTGCAACTGGTGGGTTCCTCATACTTGGTTCGTGCCACAGCGTGGGAGCTATATGGCAGGTGATCTTTGATAATGCCATGTGAATAATACTTGTTTTATGTTAAGTTGGCTTAACATTTGTGGACCTCGTGATTTATTCCTTTACAAACTTTCCTATTGATACAGTGAGTAATCTGGATATCCAAACTAGATTTAGGGGTGACGCATCTTAAGTTGTGGATGCTTGGTCAACTTAGTAAGATTAGATGCAGTGAAATTTTTCCAAAGGTCCAACTGTGAGTTATATATATATGATTTCAGTTTCCAGTGTTTGCCAACACTCATCGCTTGCCATATTGATAATAGAATTTCATTCACACCGTCCCAAAATAGTTGTCCCTCTTTCCATTTTGGGATGTTCCAAAATAAGTGTCCCCTTTAAAAAAGTCGCTGTAAAAAATTGTATATATTTTTTAAAATTATCCTCGAGTTCTGAAAACTTACATAAATTAACAATATACTCCCTCCGTCCCAAAATAGTTGGGATGTATTGGGATTCCAACTTTTTATTGAAGTGGAGTTGACAATGAGTGAAATTCCATTTTTAACCTTGTAAGGTGCTAAACAACTAAAACAAGTAAATGGAAAGGGGTAGTTTGGGAATGTGATGAAAAAAATTACATCTACTTTTGGAAAGGGACATATATTTTGAAACATCCCAAAAAGGAAAGATGGACATATATTTTGGGACGGAGGGAGTATGTCTTTAAATTAGTGGATTAGTAATGAAATTTTCAAAGCAGGCATGTATTAAAAAGTTGACAATTTTAAATTTATCGAATGGAAATATCAACAAATATATTTAAGATTTTTTTATTTACTATTTTGTTTAAATTATATTATTTTATTATTGTTCAAAGCCTCCCCCACTAGAGTAAATTTCTAGCTCCATAGCCACGACTGAGCTACAAATGTCTATTGAAATATTCTTTTAGAAACTAACTTTGTACTAGCAAGGAAGGGTGAAAGGGATAAAAACATTCTTGGCTTGTGTTTGTCTGTTTAAGCTTGTTTTTGATGTATTTAAGCGTAACACGAGTGTTTTTTTTAAAGTTCATTTATAAAGTGAAATGAACTCGATTGACACTGTTCATAATCATATGAGAGAGAGAGAGAGATTGTATCTTGTATATTCAACATAACAGACCTAATAAGCCTATGCAGGCTTATATAATGATTACAAGTCTTACTTAATAACACAAGGGCCCTATTAACTTTCTGTAATTACATAATGACCCAACACTTATATATATATAACATTCTAACACTCCCCCTCAAGCTGGAGAATATATATCAAATAATCCCAGTTTGGAACAGATTGTTCTTAACCGGTTATGATCCAATGCTTTGGTAAACATATCAGTTAATTGATCTTCAGACTTCACAAATGGAGTAGAGATGCTCCCACTTAATAGTTTTTCTCGAATGAAGTGACAATCAACTTCAATATGTTTGGTCCTCTCATTAAACACAGGATTTGATGCAATGTGAACTACTGCTTGATTATCACAGAACAATGGAGTAGGAGCTTCAACTGTCAACCCAAGTTCTTTTAGAAAATGTTGTATCCATGTCAACTCACTAGTGATATGAGCCATTGCCCTATACTCAGCTTCAGCACTAGATCGAGCTACCACCGTTTGCTTTTTACTTCGCCATGTAACAAGATTTCCTCCTACAAATGTGCAGTATTCTGTAGTAGATCTCCTATCTGAAGGAGAACCAGCCCAGTCAGCATCTGTAAAACATTCCACCCTGAGATGACCATTTGATTTATATACTAACCCTAAACCTGGAGCTTGCTTGAGATATCGGATAATCCGAAGAACAGCAATCCAATGTGGCATTCTAGGGACTCCCATGAACTGACTTACAACACTGACTGCATATGAAATGTCAGGTCGAGTGATAGTGAGATAAATTAATTTCCTAACAAGGCGACGAAATCTGCCCGGGTCATTAAATAGATCACCCTCATCAGACACAAGTTTTGTATTTGAATCCATAGGAGCATCAACCAGACGACCACCCAACATACCTGTTTCTTCTAATAAGTCCAACACATATTTCCGTTGGGATAAACTTATACCCTTCTTGGATCTAGCAACTTCAATACCCAAGAAATACCTAAGTTTACCCAAGTCTTTAGTGTGGAATCGATATTGCAGAAACAACTTCAACTTAGCAATGCTTTTAGAATCATCACTTGTGATCACAATATCATCTACATACACCACAAGAAATATAAAGCCAGCTTTAGTGCGTTGGTGAAACACCGAATGGTCGGTCTGACATCTGTTAAGACCAAATTTTAATGCCACCTCAGAGAATTTCCCAAACCAAGCCCGTGGAGATTGTTTCAATCCATATAGGGCCTTTTTAAGGCATTGATAGGACCCTTGTGTTATTAAGTAAGACTTGTAATCATTATATAAGCCTGCATAGGCTTATTAGGTCTGTTATGTTGAATATACAAGATACAATCTCTCTCCCTCTCTCATATGATTATGAACATGGTATCAGAGCACTGGAGAGATTTAGTAAGCTTACTGATAGACATTAAATTAAAGGGAGACTGCGGAACATGTAAAACGGACGAGAGAGACAATGAATCACTAAGTTGAGTCATCCCCAAACCTGAAACCTGAGTGGATGAACCATTAGCAAGAGTAACTCCTTGAGAAGAAGGTACAGAATGAAAATTAGATAGAAGAGAAGAACATCCGGTTATATGATCAGATGCTCCAGTGTCTATGATCCAAGGATTGCGAGTGGAAGACAATAGACATGTGTGTGCAGTACCTGACTGGGCAAAGGTAGCTGTGGAAGATGAATTAGATGCTTGCTTATAAGACAAAAACTGAGTATACTCATCCCGTGGAATAGGGACCGTATCTGATTCAGCCACGTTGTGAGATCCAGAAGCAACATCATTCGGAGAAGAGGAAACTTGATTTGCATAACTAGATGGTTTCTCATGAAGGTCCCAACAAAAGTTCATAGTATGATTAGAAAGACCACAATGAGTACATTTTCTTAATTCCCTGCCACGGCCACGTCCTCCTCGTGAATCACGACCACCACGTGTGGAACGTCCCCCACAACCTCCACGGTAAGCATTATGTTCACCCTTTGAAACTACCAATGCTGAACGCTCACTACTCTGTGCAACATTCAAATTTGATGTATCACTTGCTAGTGTAGCACGCTGAAGGCGAGAAAACACCTCAGCAAGAGAGGGAAGTATTGGACTGCCCATAATCTGTGCACGAAAAGGCTCATATGCCGATGATAAACCAGTAAGAAAACGGACAACATTAAAGTCCGCACGTTGTTGTTGCATACTGTGAACATCAGCAGTAATGGGTTAATACATATTCAGCTCTTCACAGACTCCCATAACTTTGGAATAATACTCTTCTATACTTTGAGTACCTTGTTCAAGATTGAAGTACTGTTACAGAGTTCATAGACACGAGTGATATTACCTGTCCCAGAATACAATTGCTGCAATCTGTCCCATATCTCCTTGGCAGTATCCAAATAAAGTAACGTTGAACTAATTTGGGGTTCAATGCTGTTTATCATCATAGAGAAGATCTACGCATCTTCCTTTTCCCATGCATCAAAAGAAACATCAGTTGCCTTGAGTTTCTCTTTAGTCAGATGAGTACCAAGACCTTTGCCTTTGAGAAAAATGGCAATAGATTTAGCTCACAGTATGTAATTCTTCCCATTGAGTTTAACTGAAGTCATGGGAGAATGAAGACTGTTTGTGGGAGAAAGCAAATTTGAATTGGATGCCATGTTGAATCCAGCAAAACAGAGAAGAAAGAAAAAAAATAGCAGAATCTGTATTCTGGTCAGACCTGGAAAACGGGCCGGACTTGAAAACGGGCCGGATCTGGTCAAACGGGCTGGATCTGGTCAAACGGACCGGATCTGGTCAACTAGGCCGGATCTGAGCTATCCCAGGTTTAGTAAACCAGGGTTGGAATAGCTATATCCGTGTAGCCGAACATGGGTCTTCTTCTTCACACCTTCACAGACGCCGGTGAACAACGCAGCGGAGACGACGGCAACCCACTCACAATCAACGGTCGAATCAATAAGCAGCGATCGCAAACTGAGACTGTAGATGTCGTCGAATCAAAAGGATGATCCTCACCTTTGCAAATCGAGATTATCGATGTCGGCAGGATCGCTGAAGAACAAAGAGGAGCTGCTGGTGACGACGAACAAGGCAAATACAATGATGACCAAGCTGACGACGACGGTGAACAAGCTGAAGACGACGACCGAGGTTGTAGATCTGACGACGACGGTGAACGATCTTCAAATCTGACGACGACGGTGAACGATCTTCAAATCTGACGACGAACAAGGAACTTCCAAGACCACCAACACCACAATCGCAATGCCGATCTCATACAATAACAACCCAATTACAGACTCTCACGCCCATGATCGCAGCGCTCTGATACCATGTTCATAATCATATGAGAGAGAGAGAGAGATTGTATCTTGTATATTCAACATAACAGACCTAATAAGCCTATGCAGGCTTATATAATGATTATAAGTCTTACTTAATAACACAAGGGCCCTGTCAACTTTCTGTAATTACATAATGACCCAACACTTATATATATATAACATTCTAACAGACACCACGGTTGACTTTGTTCGGCAACATTGCTATTTGAGAAATTGAAGATAAAGTACTGAGAAATTTTACTATTGAATTGGTAGTCTTGATGGTTTGGAGTGTTGAATTCTTAGAACAAAAAATTCTAGGTTAAATTAGTAATTTTTGAATTAGTTTATAAAATCATCTTTCACTAACTGCATTCAACATTTAGTGATAATCTGAGTCTCTCTAGTTTAAAATTGAGACCCTTTTTTGAGTGATTTTTTTTTTTTTTTTTTGATAAGTAAAAATCGATTAGAAGAGCACTCAAAAGGGGAACGCGTCCCTAATACAAAAAGCGAAAATTGAACCTAAGGACCAATAGAGTCC